GATTGCACGGTAGTTTCTACATTCTAACTGATTTCCTTTCTTATGTAATGGTACAATAATACCGCTATTCCACTCCGCTGGTAGCTATTTATTCGACCGTATCTTTGTTATCAATTCATGTATTGGTTTTTGTAGTGTGTCTCCTCCTTCCTTCAGTAACTCCAATGCTATTTGATTCGATCCCGGTGCTTTATTGTTCCTTAATTTGTCTACTGCTGTTGTAATCTCGTCTATTGTTGGTGGAGCCTTTTCTCTGTTGTCTGCTTGGTCTAATAGTATATCAGGGTTCGTCTCTCTCCGATCTCCTTCAAGCTTTTTTATAAAATATTTTGTCCATCTACTTAGTATCTCCTGCTGTTCTGTTAATATATTACCTTCCTTATCTCTACACATCGTTGTTCTCGGTTTGAAGTCTTTTCTGCTTTGGTTCAGTTTTTGATACAATTTTCTTGTCTCTGTTGATTTAGTTAGTTTTTGTAGTACTTGAAGTTCTTTGTTCATATATTCTCCCTTTTTTTCGGTAAGTTTTTGTTTCTTCTTTGCGTAGTTGTTTACATTCTTCCTCTGCCTGTCCGGTCCTGTGCCCCTGTTGCATCAGTAAATATGCTCTATTTTTCTGTCTGTTATATTCTGAAATTTTTCGTCAAACCAGTCATTTGTTCTTGTTCTTCTTTCTCTATCGTCCATGCCTAATACTTCTTTAGCTGCCTCTTTTATAATGTCTCTGCATTATTCCCACTCCTTATTTAGGTTTTTATGTGTTAGTCTGTTTTCTAGTTTGTTGTTTATCTTTTCTTTATACTCTTTATTTTTGTTTGTTTTTTTTTAATTCTTCTGACTTATATCGTTCATGTTTAGGGAATCTTTCCTTTTTAATATTTGAAATTCTAGCTCTTAGCCTACTTTCGACCAGGTAGTGATCAGAATCCGCATTTGCCTCTCTTCTGGTGCGGACGTTTATTATATTTGATTGGTGTCTTGAGTCTACAATGACATGATCTATTATATTTACTGTAAACCCATTTGGGGATTTCCAGGTACCTTTGTGTATATCTTTGCGAGCAAAGTATGTGCTGGCAATCACCATGTTAAGTAATCTTGCTAGGTTTATTAACCGATTGTCATAGTCATTTGATTGTTCATGGAGACTGTGCCTACCTATTGTGGGTTGGAATTGATGTTCTCTTCCAACTTTGGCGTTTAGGTCCCCATAGATTATTTTTATATCATTTTTCGGCATAACTGATATGCGGACTCTACTTCATCATTAAACTCTTCTTTTTCTTCTGTCGGGGCATGCGAATTAATTAGACCGTAGTTAAAGAAACGACATTTAACTCTTAAAATGCAAATTCTTGGACTACTGGCTCTGAAATTTCTTATAGTATGCTTTACTCTCTTGTTTACTATAAATCCTGTACCCAAGACGTGATCTTTAGGATCGCAGCTGTATAAATCACATGGTTTCTTTTTTGCATTACATTGTTTCCAACCCACCTCATTTTTTGTATGGCAGTTATGTCAATTTTGTATCTGTCTAGTTCATTTAGCAGATTTTGAAGAGCTCCCAATATATATAAGGTTCGAATATTCCATGTCGCAACCCACAAATCCTGTTCCTTTTTCCCGCACAGTCCTCGTCCACAGTCCGGCTTTTTTTCCTTGAACGTTCATAACTTAAAGTTTTTTTAGGAAAAGGTAGTAAACCTTCAGCCCAACCTCCCACATAGGGTACAACATAAAAAATTGGTGATTAATTCAACAAATTCACCTCTCCACAAATTAAAATTTGCCGGCTTTGAAGACTACACTTGTAAGCTATTTCTTCCGAATCTCCATCCAAACTTAACTTTCACCTAAGATCCACACTGCTGCTATCTACACATTTCTCATAACAAAACCGAACAACGAACAACACAATTACGAATTAGAAGAAAATTCGGACTAAGCAATGAAACCGACTAACTTTGGTAGCGATTTAACCGAGAGTCATCATTCTCAAAAATTGTTCGCTTCCCCGCATAACTTTTTCACCAATCTAAGTGTATATTTATTTGACGCGCAATATTAGGCGGCATCACCATCAAAGAAATACCAAAAAATACTCATTGTGCTATATAAACAAACTTAAAATGATTATGTTATCTTATCTAATAACTTATCTTAATTCCTATTATATTATATTATCTTAATTCCCATTATATTAGCTGTTGCTGTTGCTGCACATATAAGCATATGCAAATATTCCAGCGTATGGGCTTCTACGACGTAATTGGGTAGGACTTCAGTATTTATAATTTGTAACAGAGCACCTAGTTTTTAGAAGAGTTTATTTTTGGTAGCGGTGGTCTACTAAGTGGATTTGTTCCAATAAACTCTTGTACAGCTCATGCCATTTCGCTTACCAAAGTATCGCGTAGCTCGTTGTTGTCCTGTACTTATTATCACTATATACTGTATTATCAGGTTGAGTTTCTTATATGGTAAGCTCAGGAATCTGCTCATGTCTCTCATTAGGGACTTGATCTACATTTACCTCTTGGTGATTAATCTCCCGTTCGACTTCGCTTCTGATGGTATTGCGTCTAGCCTCTGGGATAATATTATTTCTTATAATTACCCGGTATTGATCAGCAACTCGTTGTTCAGTTACTTGAATTTCTGGGTACTCCCTGCAAAATTCGGCATAGAGATTTTGTCGATACCCGATCGTTTCTTGACTGAGATTTGTTACCTGGTAATAGAAGCGCAAAATATTCTCATTTATGGACGCAATCCATTTCATGCACTGCCTCGGTCGTTCCGCTTGGGTGAGCGCCGGCTGATGTTCCAGCGCAACACCTTCAGCGAGAAGAGCTCTTGTTGTTGTTTGGCTCGCTTGTGGTTGTTCTTGTTGTTGTTGTTGTTAGGCTGTAGCTGATTGTATGACAGGGGCCCGCCTCCTCAACACCCTGTCAGCGACGTGGCAGGCTTAATATTATTATTATTATTTTTATTAGTGTGTGTAATATTAATTTGTTTTGTTGTATAATCCACTTTTGCAATAATTATGTGACTTATTTGATTTAAAATGGATTCAGGATTTTTTGTACTGGCAAATATGTCAACTTCGATCTCGGTCAATGATAATGACGTGCAACGGTCAGTAAATTAGATGAAGTGTACAATGGTTTACAAGTGCGGTAATAATATTTTTCTTTTAATTGAATTTAGATGGTGGCTTTGCGGCTATCCTATTTCATATTAAAAAAAAACACATATATAAATTAACTCTACATACGAGCAAAACGACTCTAATTAGCATATAAATTGGTGAACGACATTAGGAATTCAAACAATAATTGAAAATTTTATTTACTACCCCTATATGTCAATATTTCATTAATTGAATATCAATGCTGAATAAAACGGATGTTATACCTACAAATCAAATATTCGACATAATGTTTAATTAAAATTCAGGTCGACAAATATAACAATTTTTAAAAAACATTTATTTTTTAATATTTATTTTCAATTTATTTTTCGTTAATGATTTATTGTGAATACTTATATTATTAAAAAATTGCGTTTATAGATCAGGACGGATCTGTTTTGACGTAAATGTGAGAGGTGGCATTCTGAGTTTTGCCAAAAAAGTTGTGTATTAATTTCAGTAATGATAACTGACAACTGACATATATCTTTTTACATCAGTTTTCAGTTTACTGCCGTTCTTTGTAGGTGTTGTTTAAAACTTAATGTTCTGTCCATAGTTATTTTGGTATTAAATTAGAAGTGAGCAATTTGTTTTCAATGTGAACGCAGAGTTTTTTGTTGGCTTTATTATGGGCATTATTCAGATAGAATAGAATAGATAGATAGTAACAGCATACTTTGGTTTTTATTGCATTGGGCTGTAGCCTCCATTTGCAAAAGTATTCTCCCATAACATCAAGGTCATCTGTTAGTATAGTTTCTGTAATATCCATGTTTTTACGAGTTGCTGCAATGGCCCAGTCGTCAGCGTAACCAAATTTCTGCGAAGTTGTCCCAGGTAGGTCCTCGATGTATAAATTAAACAGCAACGGTGCCAAAACCGATCCCTGTGGCAGTTCATTGCTGAGCTTTATTTGGACACTTTTAAAGTTGCCCATTGTGATCTGAAAAGGTCTATCCGTGAGTATGCTATCAATGAGTTTAGTTATCTTTTGATACGGGATGGCATGGATTAGTTTGTAGATTAGTGTTTGTCTCCAGACATTATCGTACGCAGCTGATGGATCAATGAAAGCAACAGATAATTTTTGATTTATTTGAAAATCTGCTTTAATATTTGTTGTTAGGGATAGTATCTGATCTATGCAGCTGTGGTTAGGTCCGAACCCTGCTTGCTTAATAGGTATCAATTTAAATATGTTGCTACTCATTCTGTTGTAGATTAAGTATACCAACAGTTTATAAACACAGTTCAGCAGTGCAATCGGTTGGTAGTATTGTGGCTGATCATTTGCGTTTCCTGGTTTTAATATGGCTATACTGGAGGCCTTTTTTGTGAATGGGGAATTTCTCCTGATTTTAACATATCTGTATTTGTGCAAAAAAATTTTTTTTTCAAATTTTATAGGCGGATAGGTTTTAAAAGTTGCACAATACTGAATTGTTTGAGATAATGCTTTTAGATTTTTAATTCAATATCTTTTATAACCCTCTATCTGCGTTTAAAATGTCAGATTTTTCAATTTTTTATGATTTTTAAAGGGTAAAATAAAATTTAACCAGGCTGTTTAAAAAGAAACAATAATTATAATTACTAAAACATACATTTTTGACAAATCCGGAGAAAAAATTGATACAGTAAATATAAGATTTAAGTAAAAAAATATAATAAACTGAGAAAAATTGCAATGTTAACACTTAAATTCAGCTTTACAATCAAAAGATGGCATAATACTTCTAGACTCGAGTGTGTTACGAATTAATCCATCACGAGCCTTTTCACCTACTGCAGTGATAAATGCCTAAGTTACCAGTTTTACGCAATGTTCAACTGCTTGAGTATGGCAGGGAAATTTTGAGGCCCAGTGTATCACTTCAATGTAGTCTGTTGTATTGAAATTTGGTTTCGGAACTTTAAACACTCTTACCTTATCACGTAATTCCTTTCTTGCTTTTATGATACGTCTTAGACCTAATTCTTTAACGAAACCTCTGTTGTCTGTAATCATAGCAAGCAAAAGATTTTCCAGATGGGCAAAAAATGCATTACGTTGTATTACTGGAACAACAACTGTTTTCACTTTATCTGATAAACATCTAGAGTATTGAATTGATTTAAAAATATGTTTGGGACCCATTTCACATGAAAGTTGCCCTTTGATGTGGAACCATACGGGAGCGTAGACTTTCGTGATATAATCAACTAATTCCTGGAGTTCTTCAGATGAGTCCATGGTTCCAATGTAAAGGCATAATATGCGGTTGGTCGTTGTAGTCCAGCGAGAATGTGACATATTACCAGGCTGCCTGCTAGTGAGTTCGTCGGTACACACACCCAATGATATAGCCTGACACATTTCGTACATGTATTTTTGATCGGTGCTTAAAGATTTTATTACAACTTCTTTTTGAGAAATAATGTTACCGGAGACAGGGATGAATACTTTAACACAAAGATGATTGCAGATTTCCAGTGCCTTTCCGATAGGCCCAGTGAATCCCTGATAGTAGAGTAAATAGACTGCCAAAAGGCTTCTAGAATAGATTTTGGTGGGCACTTTGTTGCTAAAATGTAAAACCTTTTTTTTTTGGTTTCTAATATCTTTCTAATGCAAAATCACTTGGTCGTCCAAAAATCGTAGCAGGAGGGGAGTGGTGGGGAGCCTTACAAAAAAAAGTGCTATTTTTTTTTCGTCATTTTTCGGATCTACGATAACCGAAAATTCATTCCTCAAATTTTCATGTTGGTCTGGACATTAGAAATATATTTATTTTATTTATAAAAATACGTCAAACCATTGTTGTATAATTCATACAAAATCACTTGTTCTGAAAACCCATATTTTTAAAATCTTTTACCTCGCTCTACCTCTTCCTCGCAGAGATGCGAGGAAGGGCGAGATTTCTAATCTGAAGTCAAAGCAAATCGACTCTAGTGATGGCGATGTTGTTAGGGTCGATTTTACATTGAAACGCTGTTGTGTTGTATATTCTATTGCGAAAGTGCATCATTGTGCATTATTTTTTACTAATACCGCGAAATCCACTGAGCTGAGATTCTTAATATTAAAAGTTTTAAATTAGTAAAAGTTATTAATTAGCTTATTGCTATAATAAAAATATTAAATATCTACTTAATATTAAAGTAAATATTTTTTTCATCTAGACACGGATTTAACGAAAAGCAGCAGGTCTGACAGTGAATTTGAGTCAAAAATCAGATTAAGGCATGTTTTTTTCCATAAAGTCCATTTCCTTTTCAGTTTGTTAAAAGACGCGGAAACTGAAGAATACATTTTTTTCTAGTTTTCAAAAAATGCATCCTTATTTCTTTGCATTTGGCCATGTGAACTATTCTTTTTGGGGAACATTATATTTGTTAGACATGTACAAATTTGCTGATAAGTATCCAGAATTTTATGAAGACTTTATTAGAGGAAATTTTGTTGTGAAAAATTTGAACAGAAACTTTTACCAACTATTTGTAGATATAGCTTTAAACACATAAATACAAACTCAAAAGATGCAGGAGGAATCGTGTGATTTACTAAAACCAGCACAAAACTAGACGAATGGTTTTTAAGCTACAATATAATTGGCATGATGGTAGATGAATTTCGTGCATCATGAGACCTAAGCAACCACTCAAGTCAAAACGTAGAAAGTAAAAAAAAACGGATGAAAATTGATGAATATTCTGTACAAAAACTACATGATCAGTTTTTACGATTTATTGTATTTTTAAAAAGCGTAGATCGTCTTCTCGTAATTTCAGCTAATGATATTGCATCGCTAAATGTTCAAACATCCTTACTAAATATACAAAAAAAAAGAAAAAGAGAGCCTAGCATAATTTATTGTTACTGTTGGAACTCCCAATTTTTATCAGCATAGAAAAGAGAATAATCTTCCAACACTTCGTAGCGCAGATACCTATAAAACTGTCTCTGAAAAGAAGAAAATTATTCAAGCTGAGCAAGAATTTTTACAAAAAATACTAGCAACCAAGGCAATTAAAAGAGACATAAATATTATGAGGATATTTTCAAATAGGAATTGACAGCATATCCAATGTCACTTGTACCAGCAGGAGTTTTATCGATACCATAAAATAAATCTGCCTTAGGTTCTATAATAGAACAGTTTACAGTTGTTACAAAATCACAAAACGTGTCAGATTTTTGATGGTATGGGATTGATTCAAGCCGTTGGCAAACCATCAAATGCCAAAACATTTGACGACTATGCAAGAATTTTGAAATCAATAGTGTTCAAGAACCCCTACAGCGTTAAAAGGATCGATTTTGTTTTGGATCACTACAAGGAATCTTCCATAAAAAACTGCACGAGACAAAAGAGAGGCGTCCGGATACAATATTACCTCAAAAATGGAATTCATTTATTAATTGAGTTTTTAATAAAAACCAGCTTACACACTTCGTAAGCAATCAGCTAGTTAAATATTCCTTAACAAATTGTACCGCTCACTTCGTATCCAGCAGAGGATTTTGCGACGTTTTACATTAAAAAACAAATTTTGGTTTGAATTCTGAAATATTAGTCTCATCACATAAAGAGGCCGATACCAGAATAATATTACACATCCTGTCAGCAAAAATGGAGAGATATACAAAATGTATAGTCGACTGTAAAGTTACCGATGTGCCCATTTTAAAGACTTTTCAACTCCAGAAGTTTAGATGAGGGTTGGAACAAAGGACAACGAAAGATTTATAGGTATCCACGAACTCTCTATGGATTACTCCCTAAGGAAATGTTGACCAGCCTTTCATATTGAATGGTATTTCTATTAAATTATAGTCTCCTATCTAGAGTGGGAAGTGAAGAATATTTGAGCAAAGATGTTTTCGATGATATGATATTGTTAAATCTGTTATTCTTCTTTATACACCTAACGACAATATTAAGTGTATTAATACTCTAAGAGGTATTTTGGCCACTACGAAACCCATTCATAAACTGCCTCCTACTTTAGACAGTCTGCGGCAACACTGCCTTCGTATACACTTCCAGACGAAAATATGGCACTACAACTATGTAGTGCGACACCAAGACCATGTCTGCCAAATCCGTAGCTAAGTGGCTGGAGTAAACAAAATGGAGAGCTGGTACCAGTTTTAAGCACGGAACCCATGTTGACGAAAGATACATATATTCTGAATAGTTGTAAATGTAAAAAAGGTGAGTCAACTTTTGCCTTTTTATGTGAAGAATAATTATATTAGCTTTTTTTATAATTTTCAGACTGTACAGGGCCCCAATGCTCGTGTAAAAGCAAACAGATCAAATGCATTGGTCCTTTTAAATGTGTGACCCAGGCGAAATGTGGCAATAAATATACGTGAAACAATTTTAACCGTAGAAGATGTTAGTTCTTCTGAGAATACTGAAGAGTCTGACTTAGAATAAGATAACCAACATAAGATATCTAGTGACTAAGAAATAGTTAAGTACATAGATTTAATTGTTTTTATTACTATCCTTTGTTATTGAATCAGAAATGTATTGCCAAGGAAAACCGATGCCATTTTAGATGTGTATATTTCAAGCTTTTGAACTTTAACCACTTTACTAAGGCCTTAGTAAGCTTTATAATAATAACAATAATCTGTACGAAAATTTTTGGGGCTACGGGATACCTCTACATACTAAGTCACCTAGGGCTCGATAACACAGAAAGAGTCTCACCAGAGCTCAATCCTTTTGATATCGTAAGTATCTGAGATAAGTGAATTTTCCCTTTTGAGGGAGTGCAAGCCGTATGGCTAAATCTGGATAATATTAATAATTTAATAATAGTAATAATAAATATCCAACCTTAAAGATATACAACAATACCTATTATGATAACATAAATACTACTATATATTTTATCACTTAACACATACAGTATTCTAAAAGTGTTCTGACAACAAAACGAGCCAAAGAAGTCACTATTTACGCTAGCAGTATTCATCCCCCTTATAATCAGCATCACAATGAAGAAACGACCATAACAACATCGTCATCAATAGAGTAGATTTGCGGTTGACTTTGGCACAGGAATCCCGCCCTTCCTCGCATCTCTGCGTTCAGCACTGTCAGTGGTGACATGCCGTTCGATTTATTTAATTTTTTCTTAAACTAATTATCCAATCGAAATTCTAAAAAAACCCACGTGTTCTCTGATTTTTGGTCTATAATGTTTATAGAAAGTAATTTTTTGCTAAACCCAATATTTTTCGAGGTAGAGAGAGGTAGAAGATTTTAAAAATATAGGTTTTCAGAACAAGTGATTTTGTATGAAGTATACAACAATGGTTTGACGTATTTTTATAAATAAAATAAAAATATTTCTAATGTCCAGATGGGTATGCAAATTTGATGAATGAATGTTCGGATATTGTACATCCGAAAAACGATGAAAAAAAATAATTGCATTTTTTTTTGTAAGGCTCCCCACCACCCCCCTCCCACTACGATTTTTGGACGACCAAGTGATTTTGCCTTACAAAGATATTAAAAACCAAAAAAAAATGGGTTTTACATTTTAGCAATAAAGTTCCCACGGGATAACACAATAGGATCCTGTTTAAACTATACTATGAGGTCCGCTGGTTCGTCCATCCAATACATTAAATAAAAAATGTCTTAGAGGCATATCATTTGCGTGTAGTAGGCAAATAAACTATTGAAAAGGCCCTTGTAGACGTAACTCCATAAATGGAATTGCTCCAGACCTAAATCCAGTATTTGTATTAGTTCCGTTACAATCTATATATTTCAGAAAATCTATCTTCATATTATTGATTGAGAGAAAGCTAAGAAGAGAATCACATATAGCTTTTCCGGTTTCCATTACTGGTATCGTATATCCTATATATTGTTAGTTTGGTTGGCTTATGATATAAATATGTTCTCTTGATACTAGTTTTCGATAAGAACGACCATTTTTCTTTTTGATCGTTAAGGTTTTATAAAAAAATTTGTATTTCAAATCCTTTATAAAAGGTATATAATAAAATACCCAAACGAGCTATATTACATTTACATTACAGAAGGTTTTCATAACGAAAGAATGTTCAAGTTACCGTTGGAATTGGTAACATGACGACGTATGACCCTACATAGTTTACATGGTCCTCGGACAAAGTGCCTTCGAGGACCTGTTGATAACAACAAGGTTTTATATTTTCTCCCATCCAAATAAGTACTTTCTAGAGCGCTTTGGTGTAAATTACTTTGTAGATGTTGCCTTGCTTTATTTCGTGCTCCTTGCTCTTATCTATAACCCAACCTATAAAATTGCAGTAGCAATAGCCACCGCGGATCGGTTTGGAACTCCGTATCTATCGCAGATTCTTGCGAGGTTTGGGAGACGTACTGTATTATAGGTTTTATTAGACTCCGAAGTTGATGATGAAGGTATAGGTTCCGTATTAACGTCAACAATATAATTATCAGCATGTGCTTCTGAAACATTCTTACACATTTCAAACATCTTTTTTTTTGCAAGGACTTCTATCATTGAGTTCGATTTCTTTATGATGTTTCATTTGTCGATCCAATACGCGCTGTACTTAAATGGTAGTATTTTTATCGACACCAGTTACCATCATTTATTTTCTTCCCTCTGGTCTAATACGAAAGGACGCTCGATAGTAGATACTTTATGAGTTTTAGGGCATTTGCAAAAATCGTCGATGCAATGTCAAAAAGTCTTGTCATGGAAGTTTCTCGGAAAGCGTCCACTTTTTCTGTGTATGTATCAGACCTTTTTGTTTTTGGATATCGAAATAATTTAATATATTGATTATAATACCTATTAAGAAGCTCTTTAATGCGTTTTGAGCTTACAGTTGGAATTAAAGCTAAAGCCCAAATCTTTTCGATGCGTTGACAAACTAGGGGGTGAACTTCGGTTATAGGCGGCTGTTTTCCGGAGTTTTGTTCTTGTAAGTTGAACTCATTTTACTAACACACTTTTTTTCAGTTCAATAAACTAATTAGTTATTCAAAGTTATTACGGCAATAATGCAGTACACAACACGAAGCGGTTTCAATTGGACATAGTTATACAGAATTGATCCATCCCCCCACATAGCGGTGTTTGACTGTATTACTGTCAAATTATATTTATTTTTACCAAAGTCTGTACATAAAACAAAAATTTATTTTTGGTAACATTCTTTACATTATAAAAAACATTGAAATATTTAAGTTTAGAACGAAGAGACACTATTCTGTAGAACTTTCTTCCAGGGGAAAATTTAGTTCATTTCCATACCCGTCTATGCCACCGGGAATATTTTTGTTTCTTGTTAATTGTAGATACATGTTTTGACAGTCTTTTGGAATAAGATCTAACAACGACTTAATGTCTTCTAACTTTGGAGCTGAAATCTCTTTACTATTAGCCATTAGTTCATAGAGGCGAAAGATTTTCTGAAGTAAATATTTCCTTCAAAAGTTTACTTTTATAATTTTTTTTAATATCCACTTTCACAAATTCACTATAAAAAGAATTTCTCATGAAATGGAATACGGGTTTTCTTTTTTTAATAAAATTTCTTTGGTTTTAAGCCAATTTATGGGCTTCTTATCTGTTGATAATTTTCTATTGACGATACGTTTTTCAAGTTTCTGTCTACTATAGAAATTTTCCTTTTTCATTCTAGTAACCACCATTGGTTTCTTCCTTTGACACAAACGCATGCAATCCATGTACTCTCCTAGTGTATAAATTCGCTGCTGTAACTTAAAAGCGGATTCTATTTTGCCAAAATCGGTGTTATTTGGCAGGTTGGAATGACCTGGTTCTAGAAATCTTTGTGAAATTTTCTGTAAAGTTGGATATTTTGACAAAAAGATTTTTCAATAGCACAGCGATTTTAATATTTCTATTTTGCCCCCCACATGAATCGCTTCAAAGTATTAAATGTTTCACATCAGGTTTCAGGTATTTTTCCATGTGATTAATTAAACAACTTCCAGTTTCTTGAGCTCCGCCCTCTGCTTCTCCTTCCATCCATACATAACAGTCCCCTTTGTCTTCTGATCCTAAGTGGATACCACAAGTATATACCCGTAGTTGTCGTTTATAAAAAACGATGTTTGTAGGTATTCTTGGAAGTGGGAGAGATTTCTGTAAATCAAATGTGATGCATTCCATTTCCTGGGACATTTGACTTTCTTTTAGATCGTCCCTCATTTTTTCTCTTGCATTTTGCCAAAGTTCAACATGTTTCTGACGTTCGTCAGTTAAATAATTTCCCTTTTCTTCAGTTGCAACGTTTTTTATTTTTGTGTTAAATAAATCACATTTTAAACAAGTATGTTTGTGAAGCGATTTTGTTCGTAAATTAAATTTGTTTAAGTAAATAGACTTATATTTTTCAAACGAAACACATTTTCTTACAGGATACTTTTCAACTACCATTGCAGTATACAACTAATACAGTTTTCTTACAGTCAGATTTGGCTGAAGGAATAAGGCATCAGAGTAATTTGCTCTTCTGTAATGTGATGTGTAAGTTGGAATTGATTTTAGATGATGTATTACAAGTTTGAGGTCTTCAGAAGGAGTTTTATTCCAACCTTCCTGCTTTTGTCCTCTTTGATCAACAACGCTATCAGAGCTATCCATTTTCTTTAAAATACGGTCACTTTTTGGGGAGAAATACCTAATGTTTTTACAAACATATCACGGCACACTATTTTTCCTGCTAAAGTATAGGTACGACTAAAATTTTTAATTTTTCTTTGTAAACCTTCGTTTAATGTGGTATAAGATCTTTTCTTTGTGTTTTATTTTACACAAGTAATTATATACATTGTCTGAGCATTGTATGTACCTAACTCGTGATACTTATTAAATTCCAATTCCCTGGTTTCTTTGGAAATTTGTTTGTAGCATTTTTTTCAACATTTACAATTATATCCAACAAATACTTTAGGTAATACTTTCCTGTTTTTTATGTTTGTATATGGCAAATTTTTGTATTTCCTTAATTTTCTTTCAGATCGGTTGTGTTCTCCAAATTTTATTTTTCTACCCCTCTTAGGTCGTTCTGTAGATTCAATTTCTAATGGACTGGTCTTTCCTATCTTCCAAGGTAGTGGAATTATTGGTAATAGTACTTGTTGTTCAGTTGGGTCTTTATAATAATTACTTACCTTAAATTTAATCCATATAAATTTTTTGTCTACATAAAAAACCTCAATTACTTACCACATTATGATTACGTCTTGAATCAGGCAGGTAATCAGGATGAGCAACAGAATCGTCACTATCTATTATTACATTATTAATAAATACTATATTATTAATATTATTTATTTCGAAATCTTTGTCTTCATAATCAGGATCGGAACATCTTCGCCGCTGTCAATTATTACATTATCACTTTCATTGATTCTTACATCTCTATCTTCGCTAATTGCAATAAGACTTTCTTCCACCAGGGTCTCTGATTCCATACTCGTAGATAATTTTTCTAGGAAAAGGAATGTCCAGTTAATATATTTATTAAAATTTTAAGAGAATCATCTGTCGCGAGTTTCATGCTTTTTCTCTATTTAAAAAGTGCACAACGTCGTTACAGAAGTTTTCAGCTCAAAAATTTAAAAATCATTATTTTATAGTAATTACTATTAGATCTGGCAACATTAAAAATCTTAAATCGTTTGATGTCAATGTAAAACTCTGCACTTTTAAAAAGTAAACATTTTTTGTAACGAACTATATGCATAACATAATATACTTATGGTTTTCTATTAAAATAAACGCATTAATTTTTATTTTTAATTTATTAGAGCTTACCTTCAATTTGTAGATTAGGTGGTAAATTTTCCATTTTTGCATGGATGGCCTTTGTCATATTCATGATTTTATAGAGTCTGTTCATTTTCACTGAGTTGATAATTTTTATTAATAATCCAATAGGTATCGTTAAATATTCAATAAAAAACGCACAAAAAGCACTATGCTATCACAAGCAGCACCTTGGAGAGATCTTGGCTAGCATTGCGTTGTTGTCACTTGGGTTTCTTTGTTATATTACTGCATTATGGAATGAAACACTTCTGCATTTATAATGACCAAAGAAAATTGACAGAATAACATTTGCTGATATGATTCAAGCTTTTTGAATCATGACAGTGTTAATGACTGTATTTAATTTTGTAAAAATGATTCGGGACACTTGGATCATTTTGGCTTAAAAAATAAAGCCTCGTTTTAAAATTATTTTTAAAACGCAATAATGATCCATGTGACTTGGCTCATTTTTGTAAATTACTTTAAAGCCTGGTTTTAAAATTATTTTTAAAGCGCATTAATGATCCATGTATCTTGGTTCATTTTTGTAAATTACTTTTAAAAATATTGAAGCTGACAGTTGACTTCATAAAACAATTACTCAATAAATAACACACATTTCATAAATATATCTCTCGAATAAGTATAAATAACTTTTAATAATACAATGGTATATTACATCACTTTCATTTAACAAACAATCACACACATATCTCTGCTTCATTGGATCAAATCTATCTCCCCAAGGACTTCCCGTTTACTGTCATACAACTACAATAGCAGAATTGAGTTCTCCATTCAACAATACATAGTAGTTTCAACCATGTTCTACCATCCATCAATTAATAGAGTACCGGCATGTAAGTAATGTTTATTTATTTGCTCATTTATTAATTTATTACAATCTATTAGACTATTTTATAACAATTTGTGGGCCTTACCTTGTCTGTTTAAACTTTTAAAACTTTTATACCTTTTTATTCAACTTACTCTTTTTGAAATAAAACCACAGACATGTAATATTGGCATAATTATTGTAGTTTCCAACATCTACTCTGTTCATCTTTATTAGACAATACCCTAATATGGGTTTTTATCATTTCAGCATTAATTTAACTTTGTATCGAGACCTGAAGATGCTTTGCATATTGTAGAAAGCGAAACCGGTCGTCTGATAGTTAAATTAAATTGATTGTTAGTAAGTCTTATTTATTATTTCTTTACCTATTTTTTATTTTGTTAGATTTAAAACATTCGACCCACCATAATCTCTATAGAAATCAGTCAGCCACTTCCCAGCATATTTGCCACAGTGGAGTAAAAATTTTGGATGTATTTTATATTTTTATTTTGTTTTAGTTTATTTTATATTTTATTTATAAACTGTACCAAATAAATTATAACAACGAAGTGATATTACCATCTCAGCAACTTGTTTATGTACACCAGCATTTTAGCATTAAATTTAAAAGTTGTATTAGACGTGTATGTAAAGTTATGATAATTTATCTACGAAGCAAACTTTACCAGAGTATAAGCTAATCTAATATATCACATATTCTAACTAATATTAAGTTCAAGTAGATTTTCATGTATGTACCTGTTAGGTGCCATAACTAATTCGCCACATCCACGCTTCACACCCTGTTATCAAACCACAAGATCATATATCAAAGCTGCAGACGCTCTCGTGTCGTCAGGGATGTTGTCTCCAATTTGACAATATTTTGTGATTCCTCAAATCGTAAAGACATATGTTAATCATCAGGTTTCGTGAAAGGAAGTATTTCATCATTTTAAATTAGAGTGGCATTTAAGCGCACATCTCAGATGAAAAATTTAAAGTAGGGGTGACATCCAGGAAGAAAATTGGGATTTTTTTAATATTTAATCTGCGAGAGGTATAAATAGATATTTTAAATATGACTTAAGAGATCTGTGCTTCGTGAGTCGTATTTTGTTTGTCAAGGAAGTAATTAAAATGTCACACTAAAAGCTTTTAAAAAAACTAATTACATTTAAAAAAATTTTATACAAAAGATGATCATGAATTGTTGATAATGAAATATTACATTAATAAAAGCAGTAATGGAACAATTATTTTGAAAGTCATTTTAAAAGTTACAGTAAAGTATTTAAAATATATATATATATATATATATATATCGTTGCCTCAAAGTAACAGTAGGATAATATGTAAAAAAAATGACTTTTGTGATATTCATGTCAATTGATTCGAATTAAACCCTTCTGTTGAGTTTAACACTAGGATGAATAAAAAGTGACATACTTTTTTTATAATATTACATATCCTTGTGTAACTTAATTCCTTTTAGCCCAAATTTTATAATGCAACACTAAGACAACATACATATCATACCATTATACTTTGTCGTTTACCCATTTTGGTCATCAATATTAATGCAATAAGTCATCAATATCACTGTAATTAATGCAAGTTATCTTACGCATATATCCTACTGTTGCTATGGACTTATTGCTGAGTTGCGATTATGTCTTTGTTTATACTATTCAGCTTACGGTCACAATTTTATCTTTAGTAATCTTAAACAATAGTTTTATTACATTATATATATATATATATATATATATATATATATATATATATATATATATATATATATATATATATATATATATATATATATATATATAATAGTTTTATAACATTTGATGTTAAAAGGTGTAAAAATGAATAATTTGGCCAATTTATATTGTCAAAATTATGAGTATCTAGAAGTCAGTATTTAGTGTATTTAGAGAACAAAAATAACACTGATTCTGAGTTGTTATTTGGAATTTATCAAGCACAGGAAAAAGGTAAGTTAAATTCATGATAAATTCCCCTTTAGAAAGTTTGGGCTGATTTAATAAAATGCAATAAATTTGTACTTTCACAACTTTCAGTTGTAAAAGCTATTATTATCATTACTGATTCTGATTTTTTATTTTATTTTGTTTATTATCTTGTCAAATTTTGAAATTTTTGAAAAATACGTATTTTTATGTTATTATTTATGTAATAACATGTTTGAACAACAAAATTAACCCCCTCTGTGGCTCAGTGGTAAGAGCGCCTGCATTTAAAACTAAAGGTCGTGAGTTCGAATCCCACCTGGGTGGAAATTTTCGTTTATTAAAAAAATTAATAAATGAAAATAATTTCTATCCTTGTGTGATCGGTACACACCGGAGGGACCGCAGACGTTCGGATACAATTAGCGTCTCTTAGCAAAGACAATGACGTCGACTTTGCTAAGTATCAAGACAATTACTCTACACACACACACACACACACACACACACACACACACACACACTACACCTTAAATTGTAAGATTGGCGAATGGATTTAGTGTCCGCAGTCATTTAAACACAAACAAACAACAACAACAACAAAATTGTTTTGTTTTTTGTATTGAAATGTGTAAAATTTTAAACAAAACTTAATGCAATATAAGTTTATATAACAGAAATTTACGGATATCGTTAAAAAAACAGATTATCTTTCAGGGCAACAGTAGGACAACTAATTTTTTTTCCAATTATTTTTCACTTTTTTATTAATATAAATTGTTAATTGACACATGTATAGTTAGGTACTCAAACAAAATTACACGTAAATCCATTCAAATACAAAAAATTTATTGCCCATCTAATTTTAAAATGCTTAGATTAATTTTGAAAAATTCTATATGTATTTAATGCGAAACAAAGCGACAATACAGCGAGTACGAAGCGACAATGGCACAGGCAATTTATTTCCTCTCTCCATAGAGCAACCTGTAAAGAAAAAAACGTGCAATAATTAGTGAATGTTTGAAACCAGCACAGCGTTATGAAGGCAATGCCTAAAGTAACGTTCAAGTATTTGCAACTCCAAACTGTTGGTTATAATTGTTTTATTGCAGTTCTAAAATGCAGAAACGATTTTTTAAGGCAAAGCTTCTATACTGGCGTTTTATAACTTTTTTTTTACAGTAAAATGCAGGGGAGAGCGACATGAAACTAGCGCCACAAGATGGCATCGCCACGGATAGCGAATAACGATACATTAACCCCGATTGTCAGCTGTATTGCAGTTCAATAGTCCAGCCAAACAGCAGTTTCGACACATATTGCAGACAGGTTGTCATCAATTAATTTCTTATAAATACTGTAAATTTTTAATTAAAAGTCAGTTGTAATTTTATAAAATAAAGTGCTGTTCTGTTTGTTGTACCTTTAAAAGGGCCTTTTTAAAAAGTACCTTCGGGAGTGACAACCCTTAAGTGGCACATTCAGTGGATTAGTGGGAGAGTCTCCAGAAGATCCTCGTCGTTTTCAAACTTTTACCCGCTACCGAATCCAATTCCAGGGAAAACTGCAGCTATTTAACCCACGGATTCCAGGCGAATTGGCACAGAAATATATTTATGAAAAAGCTGAAAAGAAGCTTAAAGAAGAAAAAAACTTGTACCAAAAAGGAATGCATCCAAGCATCATCCTATTCCTGTAAGCAAATTTCATCTTATTTTTAATTCTAATAAAATTTTACAAGTACCATCTTTTAGAATAAGCGATTCTCTTTTAACAATTTTTGAATCTCATATAGAATCTACTGAAAATATTGAACCAGATTTACATTTAGTTGACAATAATCACGTCAAGTCCACAAATTAGTTTGAAATACCTTCTATAATTATTGCACCAGCATCCATTTTAAATATTTCTAATATGGCACCCATTTTTGATATTAATAAAGACCTTTCTATCGTACCACAGTAGGATGGCAATCCAAATGAACTCCACAATTTTATTGATGTTATTTCCAAGCTTCTAAACCATTTCTGGGATGATACAAATCCCGAAAATTTTCAAAATCACATGTTTACCCAAGGATTTATAAACAAATTTAAAGGAAGAGACAGAGAAATTATTTCTGTAAACAGCTGTAAAGACTGGCCGTCAATAAAGTCAATTCTTGTACAAAATTTTGCAGACCAACGTAACAATAACTCATTAACTAGATATTTAGTCAATCTTAGTCAAGCTCCAAACGAGAACCCTAATCAATTTCATGAAAAA